ATGAGTATGCCTTATGTTTCGATTCAATTTCACATGGCTTTGCTTCCCAAAGGGTATTCTCATCAAGTGGACTGTAGTTTCGACATCGCCTTTGTCTTATCAGAGGCATTAGCGGGACTCGAACCCTGATAATGCAGCGTATAATTTCGACCCGTTAACATTACGCCACACTGACACATGTATCATTGGCTCAAATCAGATGTTAATTTAATATAAGAATCGGCCTTTTCCTATATATTAAACGAAATAGAGTTAAGCTATATGATCTGTTGATAATTTCGAAGTCATATTTGTAAATTCAAAATTTAATTGTAAACTTATAAGCATTATGAAGAACGAAGAAAGAGATTTTGGCGAGAGAAAAGGCAGAAATATTGGTACATGTCTTACTGAGAAATCCATGTTTGCAGCCGCCTCTTCAGCCTCTTTCTGTGCCAGTACCTCCAAAGATATTTCATCAAGCGCCTCGTTGAATAGGTCATTGGCAGCCGATCCACTCAACTCTTCCATTGCATTGACCACCACTTCCATTAGATTCTGTAAGGTACGTATTGTACGGTCCAGAGTCCATGTGGCGACTACACGTCTTAACTCTGGAAGCACCCATTGTAATGCCTCAGCCTCGGAAAGCCTGCGACTGAGCTCACGGAAGTCAATATGTCGCGAGATAACCGCCTTTGTTAAAGGAACAAACAATGTTGCAATAAGGAAATATTTAAGCACAACTTTCAAAGGTATTACATCGGTTAAGAATTGCTGCAAGCTTAAAGCGATTAATTTGTAATATTTGCCTCAGTCAACTAAGTGACTGAAATGCTGGCGTTAATAAGTAAAAATAGTGAAAAAATGTTTTCCCTAAACGTTATTATAACCTAACTTGTTACAATATATTCTTCCACTCCATATTTTTTATTGTATTTTGTCGGTAGGCATGACGCGTGAACACTACCTTGGTCCCAGTATATTTCGTATTATATCATGTACATCTCTGAACTCTTTGATGAGTAAATTAAGCCTAAACCCTCGAAAATTCGAATGTTGCTATTGCTGAGCTCAGCAATTTTGTATACGGAACAGTGATTTGAACTTTTATTAAAATCATACGCGGGAATCGCTAAAGAATAAGCCAAAGAATTTTTTCGCCGTTTATAAATATTTTAAGTAGGCCTCTAAACTACAACTAGATATCGAATGATAAAGTTATTCGTTCTAGGTGGTTCAGGTGATGCAAGGACTGTGGTTGAATATATATATATATATATA